AGAGTTACAGCTGCCATCCCAGTCTGTTCTCACAAAATAACTACCTTAACCACGCAAGATAAGGAACACAAAAACAATGTTAGAAAAAGTATCTTTAAATATAGGGGTAGAAATTTCCTACTGCAGGAAAGAGAACACAAACCGAAGCACCAATTCAGAATTCCGCACTCTCCTCAAAGCTTTGATCTGAAACAGGACTCAAACATTTATTTATGTTGTGGATTTGGTTTTCTGTTTTGGGGGTTTTGGTTGGTTGGTTTTTTGGTGTGGGTTTTTGCTTTGTTTTGGGGTGGGGGTTTTGTTCCCCCCCCCCCCCCCCAAAGAAAAACCTCCACATCAGAGCAGAGCAGAGTTCTTGCAAGTCCGAAGCCTCCCCCCACTCCTTCCTTCCAAAGGGGTAGGAATGAGAGAAGAAAGAAACCACTGGGAAAAACTCAAATCCATGATTTCCACAGGCTTATTTCAAGGTTTGGAGTTGAACATTTTGTTCCAACAAGTCATCCCCACCAGCAAGACAGTAACATTTAGTTTGATATTATCTAGCTGGTTCTGGTTTCTAGCACTGCTGTACAAACAGATCACAGTGCTCCTCCTAACAGCAGCCACTGTTTTAAGACCCAAACAGCACAACATCCTACACCAAGTCTGCTGGCTTTGCTGTGCCCATTTTGAAATGCCACTGCCTTAACACTTCTTCTTCTCAGCCCCATAACAAAGTTGGATTAAGCTCCAAGCTAGAGGAGAGAGATTTGTGTTGCAGATAGTAGAAACCGAGTTTACTCTCAGTTACTTGCTCTACAAAACCATACCAAGTCACAGACATCTTACCCAGGGACTGATTCAAACTAGGCAAAAATGCCCTTATGGAAGATCTGCACTCAACCACCACTATCAGATAATAAATACCACAGTGCGTTTAAATTACGTTTAAATCTGATGTACTAATCCACGTGGCCTGAACCTGTATGAATGTTTGGAAAGAACATTTTAGCATTCAGTCAAGAACCTCGTTCCTGTAACAGACACTTTAGCTCCCCTCATCTTATAAAGAGGAAAGAGTAACCACAAGAAATGCACCTCTGGATGAACTTCCTTCTCAGCCTTAAAGAGGATCCTTGCTCTCCACATACCCTCTGAATTCTTGTGTCTAAAGAGGAATTCCAGCAGTAGGAGACACACTCCCTGCAGCTCCAGGAAACTGATGCACCTCAAAGGCAGAAGCTCTAAAAGGTTTAAAGCAACACCATGCAGTAAATTTCAACACTACCTAAAACAGAGCAAGTAGTTAATTTATACAGTGTTAAGTGCTGCATAGAAATTACTCAAGTCATCCTTAACAGTACATGAAATTACTCATTTGATGTATGATAGCACATTACTTGTGACATCTCTATTTCCTCAAGAGCTGAAGTTTCTCCTGTTAGAACAAGTGGATTTAGCTTGTCAGATAAAAACAAAAGACAACTCCCCCCCAAAACCCAAAACACACTGCACACCATCCTGTACCCTCCCCAAACACCTCATCATGTTTATACATGAGGTCACTGCTAGTTGTTACTAGACAGCAGGGTTTGCATTAACACCATCAGTACAAGTATGAGGAGCCACAGAAAGGCAGCCCAGCTGCAAAGGGATAACATTACAGGCGCTGACAGGAAAATCCCATTAGGCACGAATGAGTCATTATGCTGGGCTATGGCATTAGGAAGACTCTTTGTGAAAAGTGGAAGATTCTGTCCTGAGCTCACACATGCTTTAGAAAGGTTTCCCTCTATGTGGATCAAAACTATTATCCAATCACTTCTGTATGTAACATCCCATTATCCCAATAACACCCTGAACACATATGCAGGTGAGTGCACAGGTAGGCAGGTACTTCCATTCCAGTTCATCTTTGCTAAAGGTCTACAATATAGACAAAGAAAGGGACAAAAGCTAGATTACAAGTTCTTTTTATTTGAAGATGTCACTATTAACACATTAGTCAATCTATCCTAAGTAATCCCCTTCCCCTAGACAGCTAGGGAATCTAAAATACTCTATGATTTTATTAGCTTAAAAGACCACCATTACAAGCTTTGATTTAGTGTTTATGTAATAAAAAGCTACAAGCTTAACATTTTGCTTTTACCCTATCAAACTAACGTGCGCTTTAGTGACAGTATCCATTTACATATCAATAATACATCATACATCATCCCCAGCTTTATCTCTTGAAAGTGCTAATGGAAGTCAATGAACCGTCTATTTACAATTTCAAATCCTAATATATTTACAATAGAAACCAAAAGTATTTAAAACCATTAAATATAGTGTTTAACTCTGCTATATTAGTTTACATGAACACAGCTCACCTCTGGCATCATATTTCCAATACTAATATTTCTGCCAGTAATTTAAGATTTTTAAAAAACCTGCTATTCCTGGAGGGGAAAAAAAATAAAAGCTTAAAAACCAACCCAAAGCCTCCAGGCATTTCAGAGCCCTGAGGAACTACCCACCATAGACAGTCTTCAAGTAGAAGCACTGCAGTCAGTGTTGAAGAGAGACTTCCAAACTCCAGGCAAGCCTTTAAAACCTAATGCATATGTAAAACCTTAAGAGTCAGTAATCCAATGAACAGGTTTACTGGAGTCACTGCTACCATTCAGTTTTTACTAATCCGTAGTTAAGAAGGAAACTGCTGCTTTGTTGTTTCTCCTTCCGTTACATTCCCTCCACCCACAGAAAGTGTTTTGTGCACCATCGTCCAGAAGAGCTAAGTAGGCATCGTCTTCTCCTCTTTGCTGAAAGGCTGAACTGTGCCAGGCTTTACCCAGGAGAGTCCAGAAACATGCATGCTTTTGCAGTGCTGATCTTCTGGCTTCTTCTAGGCATAAGAAAGTTCAAGTCAGAATTATCAGATACCTAATACATAAGATCCCTTTTAAGTCCCTCCCCATCCTTTGGCAAATACAAGCACAGCAGAGGCTAACATCATTTCCTCTCCTCAAAGAGGGGCAGTAAAATAGCTATCGGTTTCATTTCTGAGAACGTGTAGAACCACATTGACATTACAGGAGAGTTTCAGTGACTTAGTTCATGTACTGCTACCCTATCACACCATAAAGATTAAAAGGCACGTTTTGGATGGTGCCCTTTGCTTGAACATCATGACCCAGCACCACTGCACTGCTCTTTGCCAAGTTTCTTGGTTCTACAGAAAGGAGTGTCAGTTCAAATCGAAACACTTCTATTATTAACCTGACAATATAACCGTAGCATACCACCTTGCTATGCTGGGTATGCCCAGTGTGCTGGCACGCTGTGCAGTACTCCACCCCATCGAAGGCTTCTGAACACAAATTAACATGGCAAAGAAGCAACAGACACCTTTGCTATACCATGGAGTTTCTGAACTATTTCTGAAAATGGTCCTTCCCTTCCCTGAGCATGGATCATGGTTAAATGCTTGAAACATAACTATTTCTACCCAACGCAATGCACTGAACATTTGAGACTGATTTACTGCAATTCAAAAGACAAATCAAACAAACAAACAAAAGGGCTTCAAGTTGAAGGAGAAAAATGCAACTTTAACTACTTCAAATCTACAGATGTTTGAAGATGATGAGTAAATTAGATACCTTATCTAGCAAGTGAAAGAAACAGAACAGCTTGCTATTTTTTGCATACCAAGAACCAGCCCTGCCTCCACACTGCTAGAGGCTCATCAGATCATCTGTATGCCAAATACATCAAACCTGGAACAATGCTTTGAGTTCTAGAAAGCAGTAATTCTGCGAGTACACTTTGTCATACTATAGGAAGCCCGACAAAGTAAATCAAGACAGAAAGAAAACTGATCCTGCACTTCTGTCCCTCCCAGTGTCCCCTGTAAAAGGTGACAATGCATGACAGAATTGCCGTAATATGTTGGACAGCAGCAAGCGAGAGGGATCAGTTAAACCTGAGCCTGGCAGAGTAGCATCTGCCTATCACATGCTGCACAAAGGACATCATCTAGCAAAAGCCCTGTGCTCAGCAGGGATCTGGGACATCACAGCCTTCCCTGGGCTAAAGTTCTAGATCTCAGCTACACTGACATTTTGGAACAAACCTCCAAAGCCACAGAATTTGGGCCATTCCTGTTATCAGCAAACTACTTGTACCACACATGCAATAGTTGTAAAAGGAATTAACATGCATATCTAAAGAAAAAGGACAAAAGAAAAAGTCATCATTTGCTATCAGTCTCAGACAACATCATATCCTTTCTATTTCAAGCACCTCAACCTGTTCCTTCTCTGTAGGTTTTTGATTCAAAGGATGAGAATGAAAGAGGTAGAGCATGAAGGAGAAAAGTAGTCATAAGTATTTCTTAAATTTCTTTAAGAACACCAAAAAGTCAGAATCTGATCAAAATATTTTTCTGTGTGTTCTAAGGCTGGAGAAAGGCCACCTCACTTCGAGCCCTGATGTGACTCTTGCAGTTGGGAACATGGCTACACTGAGCTCACTGGCAGTGTATTGTATTAAGATCAATGTAAAACATCTCATTCACACCAGGAATCACGCAAGTACCTGAGTTAAAGCAGTGAGGAATGCTGAGTTTGGACTAATGAAAAAAATTTTATTTAATTACAAAAAATGCAGCAAACCACCCCACAGTTCTAATACCCAAGTCAGCAACTAAAACATGAAGTGTGCATTTCCTTGCCAGTCCAGCGAAGATACCAGCCACCATTTCAGACCTAGGCTCTGCGAGTGGATTGACTTGTAGTGCCACTCAGAGGATTGCTGCGTGCCAGCTTTTGTCAAGCACAACAAAAAAAAACAACCAAAAAACCTTAAACCACCAAACACTCCCCTCCCCCCAAAGCAAAGGTGTTACTCAGGTGAGAGCTATTTGAACCAACACATTCTTGCCATATCAGTATAAGTGTTTTATGATAGAAGTCACTCTTAGCACCCTTCAATTCCTTCATGTTATCTTATTAGAAATCAGTAGCATTAGAGATGTGAGCAAGGTACTCTGCTTCAGAAAGTTTGGAATGAGAAGAAAGCCCCAAAGCTTTGCTTCAGTAATGAAAGATCTCTCAACAGAAGAGAACAAAGAAGTTGGGGACTGTCAGGTTATGCAGAAGTAGCAATGGCCACAACAAGCGCAGGACAAGCTAAAAGGCAGCCAGCAAATCTCTTCTTTCCCATTCTTCCCTCCCTTTCATCCCTAAACAAAACGAAACAAAAAAAAAAAAAGTATCTGCCAAGTGTGCCAACAACTGTACTAACAAAGCTTTCTAGCTGGCTAAATGATTAATTGCTTAACACACTGAAGTTAGAACAGTGACGCAACTACTTAGTTAGGAGACCAAATCAGTTCCAGCATGCCTACTGATCCAAAAGAGGGGTGGAATAAGGTCTGACTAGTACATGTTCAGCACAGAGACAAACAACCTTTCTTCCCTTATCAGGCAATAAACCCTTCCTGTTGCGAGAATCTGGACTTTGTGCATACCTTCTGAGACAACATCTTCTCTCTAGCTTCATCATGTATAGCTGGATTCCATGGAGAAAAACTGGAGAAAGAACAGTCATCTCTTACTTCACATTTTTGCAAACTACAGAATTGACAGAGCAGAAAGCAGCCATTTTCCTGATTTAGTTTGTTCACTTTCAAGCAAATTACAAGTCTGAATTTTCAGAGTTTAAAACATACAGTTAAGGACTAAATTCACATTATTATGGATCTTTTCAACAATAAATATTTAGGTTTTCATTTTGTTTGCAATGAGAACTAACAATTCAGCAGGTACTACATCAAATACTACTCATTCACCTTGGAACTGACTGCCCCATCATCTGTAGAGTCGTAAGTATTTTAAAAGTATGACTAAACTACAGTCATGCAAATTGAGTTCAGGAAAGCCCAAAAGCAGTATTTACTCCATTCTATCTCTACTTGAGTGAGGTGGAGTGCTTGGGGGGCTTTTTTCTTTTGTCTGGGGTTTTGTTGAGGTGTTTCTAAGTCCTGGCTGCTTAGTGAAAGAAATTAAAAAAACATCAAAAACAACCACAAAACAAAAAAACCCACCAAAACCAAACCAAAACACAACAGTAAAAACAAGTGTCTGATTATATTTATGATTTATTACTAAACAGAAGGAAATAAGGGTAGGTAGGAATACTCTAAGTATTGCTATAAATGTAATAAAAAAAAAAAAAAACCAACAAAAAACACACAGGTCAATCAACCTGTCAGAGAAAGGCTTCAAACCAACATCCAAATCAAAACTTATCCCTGAAACATTAGGACACTCTGAATTTGTTCACGGTACTTACATGATTGCATACGGATCCTCTATTTTGGGCTGATCAAACAAATGACTGCTGCATAGTTTGACACTGTCCACCACTTTAGTTTTGAAGAGCTGAATATCTTTTTCATACCTGCAAGAGGGTGGTAAATTATGTTAAGTAGTTGCAAGGCAGCACATTTGCTCTAGTAGCTGCAGAAGACTTGGTACAGCCTCAACTTGAGTTCTTAGTGCAACCAGCTCTGGAGGTAAACACTGTGAACTGGTAATTTCCAGAAATGAAACCAAACACAACCCTCTTGCTTCTGCAAGTCTACGCAAAAAAACTCTTAAGAGACCATGCCTATATGTGTGGAAGATACTTACAGCACTGCAGCCTCAGGATTCAGAGGAGTAGTTGTATCAATCTTGTAGAAGACTCTGCGAGCATACATTAATACTTGCCATATGTGATTATGATTTCGCCTGGAAAGAACAAAACACAATGAAGAAAGGAACAGATGACTTTTAGATCATCCATCAATATGTTACCACTCACCTCCATTTTGCAAATGCTCTTTTCACGTCCAGTTCACCAGATAAAGGATCTACTAGTGGATGGAAGACAGGCAGATCAAAAACCAAGCGCTGCATTGGAAAAGAAGAAATTCATTATGACAACTTCAATCCTAATGCTAAAACCACTGGGTAAAGGTCAGTTAGACGTTGCTTCCACATGCTAATTAATTGTTACTGTTCTAAAAGAAAACAACTTGAAGTGATTTTTATCAGCTGTGAAACTGTAACCTAACAGACCCACATTACATGCAGGATCTTGTCCTCTCTCGCATGCTTATCACCAAATCAGGAAACTAATCCAGCTAACTGCACAGGCACTAGTGCCAACACAGGTAATAAAAGCAGATTAAGATCAGATTAAAGGAGTTTCTCTGGTTTAGCTATTTGTGACTGAAAGCTTTTCACAATACTTGAGCTACAATCAATTCTTTTTCTATCCTACACATTTTTAAGTAAGCTGTGCAGTGACACCACAGTATCTTCAGTTCTGTACAGCTAGTTTCCTCCAGTGTTCATGCATTCTCAGGAAGGTTTGAAAGCCCAATGCCAGCAAAAGAATAATGGCTGTATGAGACATACTAAAGTCTAATCTTTGAAAGAAACTGTTTCCTACTATTTATGTCCTTTTAATCATAGCTTTACAAAGAACTCGACACCAAGCACACAACTTCCTGACATAGCAACTTGTTCTCAGCTACAGCAGCTACACACACCTAATGTTCCTCTTAAAGAAATTCAGCCAAAAGGGCCTGCTGCTCTGCTCTGGAGAGTAGGATTGCCACAAGATTTTTTAACTGATGTAGTAATTTGGATACTTGTTCCTCAATGGAAAGAGAGAGAGCAGAGAAGGTAACACAACACTATCCATCTTCCCCTTCTCTTTGTTTCACCAGTGTTCTCCTCAAGTTCTTTAAGTTCTTTGTTTTAACGTAATTTAGAAGTGAGACATGCAAGAAATTCTGCAGTACTATAGCAAGCACAGCGCAGGTGCCTCGATTTGATGTACCACTGCGTTGCTACTCAGAATTTGAATACTTCTTTCAGCATTTCAATGTTAACTGCCTTGCTGAAGAAGTAGCAGGTCAAGAGTTGAGGTAAAAACCTGGTTGATTACTTAATACTTCAATGCATGTAACCTCAGGAAGTCCACTCTACACTAGCCTCAGTAATCAGAGAAACATGATCCCTCACAGATGTTAGGAAATACATACAAGACATTGCAAATGAGCACAGCCAACTGGAAAAAAAACCCGAACAAAAAAACCCAACAAAAAAACTAGTCCTAGGAAATGAGAAGCTAACTGGTCTATTAGCTTTAACAAAAGGTCATACTTAAAACACAAGGAAACAAGAAAAAACTCAAGACACACACAACCACTTACCGGGCAGTCTCCATCTGGGTAATTATCAGGAATATAGACAGTAAATTTAAACACACCATCCTGGTAGAGCCCATGTCTTATGAATATTACACCAAACCACACTGCAAGTGAGAAAGTTTGCTTGAGTGAAAGAATTTTAATATATATAAAAATAAAATTTTAGAAGTTAAGTTTAAACTTACTTAATGCTGATCGGTAAGATGGCTGCACGTAGACACCTGGCAATTTCTGCTTTACAACCAAGGTACTGCAATTAGAATCAGCATTTAGAACAATTCCACAACTACACAAAATCCACAGCAAGCAGCAAACACAACAGTAAACCCAGAGTGTACTACCAACAGCTTAACACAGGGGACTTCCAGAAATGTACACTCCTCACAGGAGGAGCTGGCAGAAAGCTACAGAAACCATGTTCTTCCCTTCTCACTTTTCCTACCCCTTCAATGTAGAAGGAAAACATCTTTCTTGAATTAAGAAGTCAGGGTCAGTTCCCTGAAAAAGAGAGATTAATGTTTGGAGAGTTCTCACTTTCAGTGTAATGGTTAAATGCAAGAAATGAGACTTAAGTGTTGCATAAGGACTCCAGGGATTTCATTCCAAAAGGTATTACATACTTGAGAATCCAGTGTGTCTAGAGGAAGTCCCTTTAGCCTTGTAGCACAGAACAGTTTATGTAACTTTACAGAACTAGAAAGTTTTGCAGACAAATAAGATTTGTATGCTTACATAGCAGTCTAGAAACCACTAGATTGGATCAAGCGCAGCTGATCCGAAGAAAGCTGTTTAAATCCCTCATAAATTTGATGTTAAACATCACTGAAAGACAGGAAATAATACACTCTTCCTAACATCCATATCAGACAGAATTCAAGTGTTCCATGTAACAACGGAAGGAAGTTCCCACATCCCAGCTCCACAAGCCATACATTCATAACCATCTTCCCACTAGACAGCTGCTCGCTTCTAGTCTAATACTTGTTTCAAAATTTCAGTATTTCTGACCAAAAAGCTATCAGGATAAATGGTCAGGATGCCTAGATCCAGAATGTATTTACTTCAAGATTGAGAAATATCGTAATTCAGAGAATGACATCTAAACACACCCCTTAAAATGTCATCTCACTTTCTGCTCCTCTTGTATCTCAAGAGATTGATGCTGCTGCTCCAGAAGACCAATTCTGTGGAATTTAAGATTTACTGCCTTCTTCAAGGACTATTGCAGAGACAAGATGCAAGAACTAGATCCCTGTATAGCTTTCTTCCCCCCACTGAAGCATAAGCCCAGTGACCAAAAAAAGACAAAAAGTGAAAACCTACAATTCTGCAAGTAGGGAATACTCCAAATAAAACGGCCCGTAAGAAGCATGTGTTCCATTTGTTGATTGGGATGACATGGCAGGTGAAGCAGGCTTGGTTATTGGCACAGCATTCTTTGGAATAGAAGGCAACTGTTTCTTTGTAGAGGCTCGTAGAGGACTGGTTCGCAGCTCTCCACTCAAAGTTTTCTCTTCAGCATCAGGTCTCTGTTAGATTAAAAGAGAGCCAAAAGATTATAGACCATATTTCATTACCATTTAATATTTGAACATATTTTAATACAAATTTAAACCCAACCTGGCTAATTACAAGTTTGGCCAATGAAACATATCTAGGGTTTCAGTGTTCTATTGTTTGGGGCAGGGGCCATGTCTTTTTGCATTTTGGTTTTAAATAGACTACTCGATCAAACCTAGCCTACAAGTACAAAAATAACCAATGCTGGGTAGGAAATCTGCAGATTAGGACAAATGCTTATGGAGGCTTACATTTGTCTAGAAATTGGAAACAGACAGCATATAACAGCTTAGAAGTCAATCTACTCTAGCATACAGTGCATCAAGACAAATTCTACTGACACAATTCCTTGCATTCTGGTCTTTTAAAGTAGGCTAATAAGGCTGAGATGAAATAAGAATTTCCTACAGAAAAATTCATGTATTTTACATCTTGCCTGTGCTTAAGACACCAACATGCTGCCTGGAAATGATCATATAGCCCATTCCCACAGAGAGAATCACCATTTGAAAGCAATATCAAGTTTAAATACTTTCCTAATATAGGTTAGAATATAGGAATCTTCTTATGTCTATGTTGTCTTTTATTAAAAAATAAAAAAAGACAAGACAAACATTTCTACTCGATCAGTCAGTGCTACACTGCTAGAGAACACTGTACTATTTACAGACCTCAAAAACATTCTATAGAGTGCTAAAACAAACCTGCAGCCTACAAACTCACAATTAGGCTGGTTGCGGTGACTAAAGGCATGATTTAAGCTATAGTGTTTTGAAGCACTTTAGATTCAGACTAATAACAATACCTATGTCACAAGCACCATCAACAAAGTCATAGAATTTGCCCTAGCACTGAATGCCGAAGATGTGATCAACCCTGGAACTATCATGCTTTTATCATTGCTACAATGTAAGGCACAATAGCATTATGGAGGCACAGTTCTGTCAATGCTCACTGCACATGCACTGCCTGGCTAAGCTCTATAGAAGACAGTAAGCAAATGTCCTAAGAAACAAGGACATTCGAAAAAGATTGTCTCATCTTTCTTATGTCAAGATACTTCAGACAAGAAAAGTCAACAAATTCTGGAGCAGACTCCATCCACAGGCACATTCCAGTTAATGTTGCTCTAATCTAGCTTACACTTTCATTGAAGATGGTCAAAATCCTTGGGATAAAAGACAAAGTCCAAATGTATCTGCAGATTGTCTGATGTTTTTTTCCAGAACTGCTGCCACCCCTCAATCCATGTTAACACCTCATGCTATCCATTCATTAAATACCTTGCGCACAGAACTCGTAGACATGCTCCAGAAAGGGTTCATAACGCGTATCCCAACCAAAGAACGACAACTCTTCAGTGTCTTCAGACTGTCCTCAGGCTCCTCTGGTTTATACCCTAAAAAAAACCAAACCACAGAATGAATATGCATGCTAACAGATAAATAAGACTTGGCATAAACATAGGATTTGGATCGAATTCTGCAGCCAGCTTTATATTTCTGTAATTTCAGAAGATGACTTCTTGGACACTTAAGATTGACAATAGTTAAAACTGCCAAAGCTCTATTACATATTAGACTCCAGGACAATAATATAGTTGTCTATGAAATAATTTTTGCACATGAACCCCTGCTTTCTTTCTGCTAGAAAGACACTCAGATTCTGCATCCCATGTTTTGTCTTGCCAACTGGAAAAAAAGACCATGTGTTGGCTCAGCACAGTCAACAAAGATCCAGATCCCCTACACACACAAATAATAAGTTACCACTTCATCATCTGAGTCCAGCCCCAGGCAGTACTACAATGGCTTATTCTTGCTGCAGGGGTTAAGTGCTGTCCCTCACGCATGCTGCTGACTTTGCATGCTTCTGAAGCATTCCAGTTTGAAAACATCTCTGCCATTCCCAGTGAAAGAGATGATCCTCTCATTCAGTTTGCATCATGTATGTGTCATTCTGTTTTCATCTGCATTGGAACACCACCAGAAATAGACAAAGCCACAGAACACAAAAGTATTTCTGTAGCTTATTTAATGGTTTCATTATAAGTACGAAGGCTTAGTGCTTTTTATTGAACTGCTGAGAGCAGTTCAATAACAAGGACCAGCAGTACTTAGAGTTTCAGTGTGCCATCTACTGTATATGGCCTTAGTTTGCTCTCTCTCTTTTTTTCCCCTTAAAGTCTTGCTACTGTTTGTGCAAGAACTCTTGTCTACAGTACCTCTTGCCTGGCACAGCTTACTTCCTCCACTCCTTTCTCTCTTCACCCCCTCCAGTTCTCCTGGTTTCCCTTCCCCTTTCTACCCTCCCATTTCTGGCTACATTAAGGTTTTGAAGCAATTCAATTTACTCAATTTCTTTAATAGGAAGTTGTACAACATTGACCAATGCAATTTATAGGATGTGTGAGAAATGGGGAGAGAGGCACAAGCTCCTAAGGTTTTCTATTGTAAGCAAGGCACTACCTGTTCACCCATTGCTTTAACAAGTTTATAGAAAAAATGGTAACATTACATCCAAATGGCAATTTAAGACAGACAATTTATCAAAAAAATAAATCTAGCAATAGTAAAGTTTTTTAAAAAGAAATCATAGGTATCCTTCTAGACCACAAAGCATCCAAGCATCCAAAACATGCAAGCACCATTCAGAAAAGTGATGAAAAATAACTCATTTTCCCACTCCAAAATCATCTCAAACATTCCAGTACACGATTCCTCCAGGTATTTTTCCTGTTCAGCAGCCAGTCTCACATTATTCCAAGCTACTGAAAACAGTCACAGCGTGGCTGCTGCTGGGGCATGCCCTGTGACAGCAGGGAGCTGTTTTCACTTTCCCCCATCTTCTGTCTGGGAAACAGAGCCATGCCAGAGGGCTATGCCCTGGGCCTTTTGTCTTCCATGAAACCCTGCCAGACTAAGACAGAGACACTGGGCAAGGAAGGTACAAGACACTTCCTTGGGAAACTCCAGCATAACTAGAGGGTGGAGGAACTGACGCACAAAGAGAGCATCAAGTGCTGTGGCTCTGACAAGAGAAAAGTGCTGGAAGCCGAGGTACAGGTTGGAAGACAATTAACTGGAATCTGGACTGATTACGGGGTTTAGGTAGGATTTGTTTTTGTTTGTTCTGGGCTGGTCGTGTTGTTTTGGTTTTTTTTTAAGACTCAGTAATATAAATTGTACTATTCCAGAACCCAGAGATAGGAGATACAGGACTTTGATCAGGACAAAGAGTGAAGTATGTACATAAAAACAAGCCCAGCTTCACACCAGTGAAACAGGGAACTGATTTAGAAGCTTGATATCTGGTGCTAGATGGAATTCAGTCAGTGACTCCACCCTGCAGAAAGCAGCTCTGCATCTCAGCACATGTCCAGCATTGTCAAGAAGCTTTTTGTTAGAGAGATGTGTACTTACAGGCTATTAAGAGCAGTTTATATTTCCAAATAAAACATTAACTTAGCTCTAGCTCAACTACAGAATAACTTCCACAGATTCGCCTGCTCACAGATCTTATATCCAGTCACTTGCCAGTAAAAAGTCCTCTCTCAATGTTATCCTAAACTTAAACTGTCTCCTGTTGCATTTGCCTGTTAAAATACTATTTATGATGGAGAACTAATAACCTCAGAGGACCAGCCTCCCAGAGAAAGGTAATTTAAAAAGCCTTTCAAGGTGTTTTAGAGCTTGCTTATTTCTAATCACACTCACTCCTTCCAGCTATGCTACATGGAAGTGGAGAACGATAACAGTACAGGAAACTTACCTGCAACCAATTATCTCCTCTAGAGCCTTCACTTCCCAATTTACTACCCCACATTAATCACAAGAATAAATAAAAATATATATTAAAAAATAACCAAGTAACAGCATATTTAAGTTAGATTGTTTATCCTTTTCACACTATGGTGAAGGTCTGCAACAGACAAGGAGAGACAAGACCCAATATGGTTAAGTTGAATTTCTAGACAGTGTAGCCATTCAATCTTACACAGGGCTACAGTGTCTACTATAAGGTTCCTATCAGCACAGCATCTTACTATAGTGCCACTACTGAATCCAACAGCTTCCCAATAGAACCCAATATGCTCCCCTCATTTTATGAAAAGGGAATAAATACATTCAAAATGACCACCCTGCCTCCTTGCACAGCCATCAGTGACACTGCCTCAACTAAGAGGAGGCTTAACAGTGTGCTGCTCAGTTATACGTTCTACTAATTCCTGCTACTTCAAGAATAGAAAGTAACAGCAACCCTCCTAAGCAACCCTAATCCCATGGGCTTTTTATGGGTATCTTTTTCTCTAGTGTTTTACTTCTACTACAACAGCAATTAAAAAAGAAAACACAAACTTGCACATTTCAAACACTGCTCCTTCAAAAGGCCTTCGAGCTTGTGCCCAGCACTGCACTGCTCAGGTCCTGCCGCACCAGACCAGGAAAGCCACCTGCCATCAAGAACAGCCTTATGCTGACCCTCACCAGCACTGAGGTGCACAGGACAAGACAGCAGTCACAAACTCTTGCAGTGTTTCATCATCCCTCTAAAATACTTCAGTAAACAAAATTATCACTAATGAAACCGAACATTTTAAGTACTGTGCTTTTGCATACTTTCTTTCTCTCCACTAGGTATTCTCATTAGAGACCGGTTCTGTTTACCCCTACTTCCATATCACGTGTCCTATGTTGCCCCTGTCATCAGCAGAGTCATTAAATTCAACACTAAATCAGTTTGAGAAAACTTCATCTGCCCAGAACACAGCACTTTAAAAAATATTTTCTGTAAACATAAACAATTCCTCAAGAAGAAAACAAACAGAGTACAGCCAAACATACAACATAACGTTTCCATGTACGTTTTTATGTGGTTTATTCCCTGAAAGGGAAGGGAACCACTCCTACACCCGAGAACACAGAGCTGACAAGGCAGAGCACCAGAGAACAACGCTACTACACACTCGCCCAGCAACTGCAGCTGTCCGTTTGCACCAGAACCGAGCCCTCGTCGGCACACCCACTACTGGTCTCCTTCGGGCCCAGGGACTTCACCAGCCCACCCCGGGCCCACCGGACAGGCGGGGGCCGCGGAAGGCGGGCGGGCAGGCACGCTGGCAGCAGCC